CTCCCCCCCCCTCCCCCCGTCTCTCCTCTTCTCCTCTCCTGCCGTCTCCTCGGGGTTTTTCGTTTTACGATTTTAACGCGTTGCAAAAAACAGATTACCGTGAAAGAAAACTCAATATTGCTGCAACGTGTTGTCAAACTTTTGCATAACACGGACAAATTATGTTGCTTTGAGTTGTATTCTAGTCCCCGAATTTCTTCCGAATATTTTTCATACTCTCTGCAAACATTCAATACAAACATGAGTATTTATATTGTCAAGAATAAATGTGTTCCTACTGTTATTTTTATTGATTTTACATCATTATTCTTTATGTTATGGATCATATGCTTTTAAAAAATGTAAGCTGTGCATTTATATGATAAATTTATATCCAAAAGTTTTTTTTCAATTAATCAGTCGTTTAAAGCTCGCGCTTGTCGAGGGTTAATTTGAAGAATGCGTATCTCAATACCGTCGAAGCGCATTAGCATGCTCGTTCTCTCTTACTCATACTTTATCGCTTCGTATATCGGCTCCTGGCACTAAACATAAAACCTGTATGGGCCTCGGGTATCCCGTAGGTACAAGTTCCTCTTAAATAGGTCAATTGTTTTGCCCGGACGAGATTTCTGAGAATTGCGTTATACGTTCACGTGCGGGCAGATCAGTCGATCGATGATGGAACGCTCAACCCATTGTCCAAGTTCTTGGAGTGACCGATCGTCGTCTCGGAATTCGTGATCGTTCAGTTTTCCGATCATTTCGGTGCTTTATAACTTAAAACGCAACTTAAATTTATATTTCCATCTCAACGTATGAATCAAATTATAAATTATAAGAGCCATACAAAAGACAAAATACCGGAAGTTTATGTAAAAAGAATTACATCAAAACCGAATAAAGTCTTCTTGTGTTTATTGCATATCAACTATCGAAGAGAATTCATTGATTCAAGAGTTTTTTTATCAAGTTTTATATTAAATAAAGTTGGAGTAGAGAATTTTGGAGTTATTTGAAGACAAAGATTTTATTTTGAATGGAACAATAAGCGTATTCAACGGACTCAATATTTGCTAATATTGTTGTATTCTTTTAGATCATTCAATCAGAATTTTAGATCTAGAAGAATATATCAATAACAACGAGTATTCACTCAACTATTGAATCTGCTGAATGCAGCCATTGAGAGTACTGAAGCCATAATGTACACGGAAACAATAGCTTTGCTGAAGTACTTAAAATGTTAACTTAACAAAATAATTTTGTTGAATCATCAAAATAATTATATAGGACGCTAAAACTGATTACTATAATGTTAAAACTTTTTGAAGCATTATTCATCATGCTAGAGATTCTTATAAAATTATTTTCATCTGCGTCTAGCTAAATTTTTAGATACTTCAGTAAAATCCTCTCCATGTTTAAAGTTTAAAATGAAATTTCAATAAAATCTTGCTTCGATTTTATTGAAGTTTTATTTTAAACTCCATTTAAGATACGTGGTGAATTTTTCGCGCTGAACTAATGAAAGGATTTCGCTTCATAATCAGATATATGTATCGCAGATGTGAGAAAGTGGAATTTCTCATAATCGTTTCAGTGAGCGGTTTCGTGTCCGACCTGCAGAGCGGATGTATCGGCGGCAGTGCGAAGGACCTCGACTCCTCGTCAATTCCTAGTAGCTTGGGCCGAGGTTTAACGTCGCATCATGTCTCCTTGAGCCACCACCACCATCACCATCATCATCCCCATCACAGTTTGCACAGCCCCAGCTCCGTGGTCCCCATGCACACCACCACCACCACCGCTGGCTCGACGCACCATCACCTGGATGACAAGGGCTCGTCGCCCGTGGGCGCCCTTCATAGTACGACCAATAGCAATCCCTCTACACCATCCGCACCCTCCACGCCCACCGCAGCCACTACCGATAATACTGTGGCCAACGTCGCGACCGGCACGACCAACAGCACCAACGGTGGTTCCTCCGCTGCGAACAGCAAACCACCCTTCAGCTACGTTGCTCTGATCGCCATGGCGATACAACACAGCGAGCACAAGAGAGCGACCCTCAGCGAAATTTATACGTATATCACCGCCAAGTTCCCGTACTTTGAGAAGAACAAGAAAGGATGGCAGAATTCGATCAGGCATAACTTGTCGTTGAATGAATGCTTTGTCAAGGTGCCCCGAGAAGGTGGCGGCGAGAGGAAGGGCAATTTCTGGACGCTCGGTAAATTAACGTTATTAAAATATTGTATGTTTGATTGGTCCGTTTCTACTGTGAATGTGAAGAATTATATACAATATATTGAGAATTTATTTAGCGGATTTAATCGCTAACTTTCTAACTTCCGAATTTGCTGTCTTGGTTCTCAATTCTCCTGAATTATTTTCTATTTATTTCTATGCCTATGAATTTCTTTTATTCTAAAAAAGCATTGGAGATATAAATTAATTAATAATTCTTAATTATAAAGTTATTGTTTATTTAGGGTGTGTTCCATTTGGGACTCACAACGCTTATAAGCATTATTTGTCTTTGTTTAATATTTGATAAACAATGAGGATGAAATGATTCCATGAACGTTGCGAGCGTCAAGAGCGTTGGAAGGCTGATCTTTAAACGATCATACATATCATTTTTTGTTCAAATCTATTTGTCTTACTATTAATGGGTATTCACTGTAAATTCGCGTATTTTCTACGTCATCGTAGATCCTCAGTACGAAGATATGTTCGAAAATGGCAATTACCGAAGACGAAGA